TGTATGTATGTATGTATGTATGTATGTATGTATGTATGTATGTATGTTTTGCTTCACTACAAAGTAGACACCATTAACCTCACTGGTGAGTAGGCAGAGACTTCAGAGACAACTTGCTCAGAAAAAACTCCTTATTCAAAAGTTACTTTTAGAAACTTCCTATTAGGGGCTGGAGAGATGGTTCAGAGGTTAAGAACACCGACTGTTCTTCCAAAGGTCCTGAGTTCAATTCCCAGCAACCACATGGTGGCTCACAACCATTTATACTGAGATCTGGTGCCCTCTTCTGCTATGTATGCACACATGTAGGCCGTATACTGTATAAATAAATAAATAAACAAACAAATAAAGAAATAAGTGAAATCTAAATTTTTTTAAAAAAAGAGGAAGATGTGGGGAAGAAGAGGAACATCGCTGGTGTGGCTTCCAGTACTTGGGAGATTGAGGCTAGAAGATTGCAAAGGCTACAAGGTGAAACCTTATCTCAAAAAATTAGCTCTAGTAAAATTCAGATTCTCTCCACTTGGATCTACTTTTGGCCCCCAGTGAACACTGAATCATTTCTTTACAAGTACTAATTCTCTTTGAAAAAAGAAGATAGATTGTGATCTACTTTTGGCCCCCAGTGAACACTGAGTCATTTCTTTACAAGTACTAATTCTCTTTGAAAAAAGAAGATAGATTCTTCACTATTATGCTGAGTGCTTTAACTTTGCAAGCATGCTAGCTTTTCATAATTCTCCAGCCCAATTCAATATTCTGAGTTTCCTTCCTCCTCAGCAGATGTGTAAATGCCCTGAGTGCAAGTGCCCTAAGTGGTCCCTTCTTGTTGCCCTTATATTTAGCAGTGTCTGCATTACAGCTGTAATCTGTGATCTGCAGGCCTGACCTCAGCATGGTTATGCTTCATCTGCTCTCTTGTATGTCCCACAGTAAATACCAGCTCGTGTTCTGCTACACCATCATGGAGAGGAACAGTCGCCAGATGCTCCCTGTTATTAGAAGTACAGCTGGTGGGGACTCTGTGCAGACCTGCACCAACCCACTGGACACTTTCTTTCCCTTTGACCCTTGTGTGCTTAAGAGGTAGGCCCTCTCTTGCTCTTTCTAAGGCTGGGATTGAGAGCTGCTTCATCCTCGGTGGGCTTCCTGGCTGTTAATTTGGCCAATAGTGAATGAATGGCTGTCAAAGGCTCCAGACTGTTTCACAAGCACACCATGATGTGTTCCTGGTTATTTTCCTGACCCCTGGGGTAGAGCTTTTGTTTTTCTTTAAACTGGTTGGTTTAAATGGATTAGGCTGAGTGTGAGTCCAAGTTTTCAGGACAGAGAGGGTGCTCACAGCTTTTGGCCTCCTACTTTTCTGCCAACATTTCTCTTTCCTTTAAAGACTGAATCCCATCCCAGTGCCTGTGATTTATCTAAATGGGTTGTTCTACCAAGCCATTTTTGGTCTTTATTTTTTGCTAACTTTACAGTTTCTTTTTTATTTAATTTTTTTTGTTTGTTTTTGTTTATGAGCATTTTGCCTTTATGTGTACATGTGTACCATGTCCTTACCTTTGGGAATCAGAAAAGGAACTTACAGCAAGTGCGTGTAGTGACTAAGCCATCTCTGCAGCACTGGACAGTTTCTAAGTAGCTTCTTAGATTGCCTGGTCCCTGAGGCTTGACTGGCTGCTGTCATCGTAGTTGGTTTTCTAGACTTCATGTTTAGCAAGTTCATGTAGGAGTTCCAGAATATCAGTCTGTTTCTACCTGTGATAACCTGTCGGTCACTGAGTGGTCCAGAAACATTTTCCTTTGAAATCTGAGAGACAGAAGATAGAATCGCTGGCATGACTGGGGAAGCCTAATAGACTTCCTCAGGACTCATGACAGTTCCCTTGTCAACTGTAGTCTTTAGTTCCTGCTTTGGGATGTGGGTCTGAGAAGAGAGCTAAGGTGTTGGAATTTTTGGCTACATATTGACCTTGAAATGCTGTCTTTGGCAGGTCAAAGAAGTTCATTGATCCTATTTATCAGATTTGGGAAGACATGATTGCTGAAGAGCTGCAAGTGTTTAAGAAACCCACTAAAGAGGTAAATTTGTGATGGAGGCACTTGGTGCCACAAATAAAACTGCTAAATGTTGTTGAATACAAGCCCAGGTTATGTTTTTAATAATAGGATTTGTAAGGTTCAGTTTCATGTATTTCTCTCATGGTGGTTTCACGAAACCCTGGCCCTCCCTCTCTCCTCACTCAGTGCTGTTTGCCACAATACTAGGCAATTCTTTTCTTTTCTTTTTTTGTATGTGTTTATGTATATGTGTGTGAGATCAGGTGCATACTTGTGTGAAAACCCAGAAGTCAACCTTGGTGTTGGGCCTTAGGAACTATTCATCTTATTTTATGGTTGGGGATCACTACAACAGGAGGAACTGTACTAAGGGACTACAGCATTAAGAAGGATGAGAGCCACTGGTCTAAGAAGAAATGAGTGATGTCACTCTCTGTAGCACTCTGACTCCCATTAGTCATGTTTAGTATCAGCTTTAATATACTTGTTAAGTCGGGAGCTTTTATTGGCTTGGGCCGTGCCAGCTAGGCTAGACTGGCTAGCTGTTTCTGTTTCTCTGGTGCTGGGATTTCTTTTTACTTCAGTTATAGGGATGGAATCTGCTCCCTGTTTACTGACTGAATAATTTTTTGGCCCAGGAAAGTGTTTGTTTTGTTTTTGTTTGTTTGTTTTTTGTTTTTAAGACAGGGTTTCTTTGTGTAGCCTTGGCTGTCCTGGACTTGCTTTGTAGACGAGGCTGGCCTCAAACTCACAGCTATCTGCCTGTCTCTGCCTCATGAGTGCTTGAGTTAAAGGCATGTGCATCCATCGCCCAGGAGGAAAGGAATTCTTATGCTTGTCATTAAAACAATTTACAGGCCTGGAGAGTTAAAAACATTCATGTAGGCTCTTCCAGAGGACCTGGATTCAATTCCCAAAACTCACATGACAGTTCACAACCATCTGTAACTCTAATTCCAGAGGATCAGACACCCTCTTCTTAACTTCTTAGGCAAAATTCTCACACATATAAAGTAAATAAAAAAAAAGTAAGTAAGGTATGGTGGTATGTATCTTTAATCCCAGCACCCAGGAGGCAAAGGCAGGAGGATCTCTCTTCGTTTGAGGCCAGCCTGTTCTATATAGTGAGTTCCAAGACAGTCAGGGACTAATAAGAGAGGCCCCATCTCAAAAGGCAAGTTCTCTATGTGTGTGTTTGTGTATATGTGTACACACCAAGTCAGAGGACGACTTGGGGATTTGGTTCTTTCCTTTTATATGTTGGTCCAAACTCAAGTTGCCAGGCTTGGTGGCAAGCACAATCTCACCATCTCATGAAAACTTTTTAGACCAGCTCTGTGATATTCTCAACACTTTGCTCTCTTCACAGGACGTAGTTGAGGATGAAGACGATGACTTTTTGAAAGGTGAAGTGCCCCAGAGTGACACAGTGATTGGCCTTACCCCGAGCTCGCTCGACACCCACTTCCGAAGCCCTTCCAGTAGCATGGGCTCCCCACCTGTGCTGTATATGCCAGACCAGTCCCCAGTCATCTCCAGGATCTGTGATTGAGCTGTACCACTGGACCCCACGTTAGACTGGTCTGTGCCTCCTATATCCAGCTTCTGTGTTGGACTTGGGCCAGTGTCTGAAGGGACCCAAGTTGTGTGTGTTTGCAGTTTGTTCCCTGTGGACAGAAGGAAAGAGCCAGTGTCACATGTAGTATTTTACAGTGGGCCTAGCAATTGGTGCCCATACTTCATGTGTCAGCTTAATGTGTAGTGTGTGCCTGTAGCCTTCTGTGGAACTCCTGGGTGCATGCCTGCATCAGCCACAGCCTGGCAGGTGCCTTCTGACAGGGTTCTTTTTTTCGGAACCACAGTCACTTGACTGTGTTGGTCTTGTTTTGGGGAGAATTTCTCCAGGATCAGCCCTGCCTGTGATACTCTTAACTGGATCCTGCTTACAGTGGCATAATGGTTTCCTTGTGACTAGGAGTGTATAGTGTTGGGTACAGAGGGAAATGCCAGGTAGCAGTGACATGCTGGGTGTTTGGGCTGTGTTCACTGAGGAAACAGAAGGACTGCAGAGGTACAAAGAAGCTGGGAGGTAAGAGACGATACAGAGAGACACAGAAAGGCACCTGTGCAGGGTTCGGCATTAGCTCAGCTGACTGAAGCGGGCCTGGGTGTCTAACCATTCCATAGCTTACACAGCATGGACTCAGCCAGGAGAGCTGTTTGTTTGTTAAATAGCCAGCCTTGCTGGTAACAGTTGTGGACTGTGGAGGTAACCCTCCCTTGGATCGTTACATGTAAACTTTGGTGTTTGTGAAAATGGCTCTTTATATTTAATTTTTTGCCATTTATATTTATTTAAAGGTAAACAATATTTTCTTGGTCACAATATTTTTTAATAGAATTCCTTTCAAGGTTTATATACCCTTGTGTAATAACACTGATGTAGAATCCCTGGGTTTCAGTCTACTTGTGAATATCTTTTTTGGAACAAAGAAATTTTTATTGCTTTAAAAACTTTCTAATGAGGCAGGCAAATCCCTCAGTTCCAAGCCAGCCTTGGTGAAAAGTCACTAGGAAATCTCAATGTAATTCATTCTCTGTCTCCTCTCTCTCTCTTTCCCTCCCTCCCTCCCTCCCTCTTTCCTTTCTTCTTTCTTTTGAGACAGGGTTTCTCTGTGTAGTCCTGGCTCTCCTGGGACTCACTCTGTAGACCAGGCTGGGCTCAAACCCAGAGAGCCTGTCTCTATCTCTGGGGTGCGGGGTACCACTACCACCCAGCTTACAGTTCTTTTTTTAACTGCTGATAGAAAGATGCAAGGAAATTGCATCTATTGGTGCTGATGGGGTGTGAGGTTTGGGAAGTAGCTAGAATGTAGAAGGTAGAAGATTACAAAGGGGTTTGAAGAAAAATTCATTGTGAAAATGAAAGATTGGCATGACTCACTTGGCTCCCCTACTCATGCCAATGGAGGGCCTTAATAAAGTGTCTTGACAGTGTTCCCCTGGTTAGTGTGTTTGAATCTTAGCATCCTGATCCATTGGTAACTGGGATGGTTCAGGAACAAATGGGCACTGGTTAGGATGTTGTCTGAACAAGCCCATGAAAAACTTCAGAGAAATTTTATGATTTCTGAGTATGGTGATACGCTCCTGTAATTTCAGCATGTGGGAGGCTGAAGCAGGAACATTTTACGTTAAATCCAGACATAGATGTTTTTGAAAAGCTAAACATTTTTGGGAAAAATTGTTGAACTCCCATTGGAAAACAAAGAGCATTTTCTTTTTGGTACTGAGGATGGAAACCAGGGTCTTACACATAATATGCACCTAGCTAGGTCTCGTTTCTCTTGAGGTGAGAGGAGTTGGCAAGCACTGTGTGATTTCCAGCCGTGTCCTTGGTGGTGTCAGTGGGGACTGGAGGGCTCTGCATGCATGGTAACTGCCTTCCTGGTGATTTCTTAAACCAGTAGAGCCTCTGTGGCTCAGAGGACACATGGCATGCTTTCAGGCTGTGTATTTCAGGCTGTTGTTGCAGGTTGGGTCTCGAATTTGTCGTCTGGTTGCTCAGCTCTTGTATGCCTTCATGTTTGGCTTTTAGTCTCATATACAGGCTGTAAGCTGCACTCAGTGCTTCGGGATTCTTCCACTGTTTGCCAAGTTTCTGTATAATGCTCTTTGCTTTTTTTTGTAGCCTGGCTGACCTGGAACTAGCTCTGTAGCCCAGGCTGGCCTTGAACTCGAGATCCACCTGCCTCTGCCTCCCTAGTGCTATGATTAAAGATGTGTACTAATGACCCGAATACATAATGCGTAAAAAACAAAACAACTCATTTTCCCTGCTAAGTGGTGCACTTCAGGTTCAGCTACGACAGTGTGCTTCCACTGACCTACACTCAGCTTCCCTGCATCCAGTTTGTAAAATTATATACATTTATGGAGAAGATAGTGTACAGTTTAGCACTTTCTACCCGTAAGCCTTTAACCATTGTTCAGGGAACCTTCAAATTTCTGTTATCTGGTTCTGTATAAACTGTGTGATTCAAAGCTACAATCAGGCTGGAGGTGGATGTGTGGAAGACAGGTTCTGTTGACAACACCCACAACAGGTGGCTCAAACATTCTGCCTTTTCTGGGCACCTGCACTCACAGCACACATAAATCCTAGTAGAAATAAAAAAGCCAAAATCTCAGTACTTTTGAGGCTAAGACAGGACTGCCATGAGTTTAAGATTAAGCTAGGCCATACAGTGAGTTCCAAGCCAGTTAGTTGCAGAGTTGAGCACCTGTGTTGTGATTGTCTTAGGAGCCATGCAACTGTCACTGGGGAGTTCAGCTGAGCCTCTTGCAAAAGAATGATCCCAGCTGGTCTTGTTGACTATTTGCATCCTGACACTGGGGTAGAAAGGGTGGTGGGACAGTGGGACACTCGGCTAAGGATGCAGCTGTGCCTTGTCACCATTTGTTAGAAACTCGGCCTTAACTGAGTGGTGCATCAGAGTAGTTAGGCCTCTGAAGACTAGGGAGGTCCTCTTACTCCTGCTGGGCAAAGACCTTCCAGATGCAGCTTGTTGGGTGGGGATACCCACATCTCTGTTGCACAAACAGAAATGACACAAACTGCAGTTATCTGGGAAGGGGAACCTCAGTTGAGGAAATCCCTCTATTGGGCTGGCCTGTAGGCAAGTCTGGAGGGCAATTTCGTTTTTAATGATCGATGTAAAAGTGTCCAGCCCTCTGAGGGAAATACCACTCATAGGCGTGTGGTCCTGGGTGCCAGAAGAAAGCAGGCTGGCTGCACAAGTCACTGAGTAGGTTCCCATGGCCTCAAGTTCCTGCCCTGACACTTTCTTTCATGCTGGACTACAGTTGTAAATGAAACTCCTCGCCAATCAATCTCTTGGACTTCTGAAACAGTGCATCCCAAAGAAATAGGAATTTCTGCGGGAAGAAGGAAAAGGCACCAACCAGAGGGAGAACCTGTCTCCAGGAGAGAGTTCAGAATTCTAACAACTTGTCAGACCACAGAATGAGACAAGCTGAGATAATGATGGCTTGACCCAAGTCAGCAGGAATAAGGTTCTCAGACACAGTGAGGTGTTAAGTGGGAGCACAAGGGTTGAGAAACAGGAGGAATAAAGACAAAAACTATAATAGCCAGGACCAAAGAGTTCTTCCAGAGGCTGATGACTTAGATGAGGCACTGTCTCAGGTCAGAACTAATGTTCCTTCTCTTTTCATCAAGGCTTCTTAAGTCTTGGGTTGATTTGGCTCCCACAATGGGTCAGTGGTCTGCTTTGATGTGCTTTGACCTCAAGAAGATGGACTTGGGTTTCCTGGACCTCTTCGTCCCTCATCCCAATGTGGCCGCATCCAATAAATCTCCCTTTTCTGCTTTTTACTTTTAATTAAGACTTCAGTCAATTGGGTTATTGAATTCTGGTGGTTGGACCTGACTTAAAAAACAAAACACATTCACCTCTGTTTTGGTTACTCAACATTCCTTTACCCTTCTCTGGTCAATTGCTTTTGTAAATACTATGTAATTACGTTTTATACTATCAGTGCAGGCTGAGGTACTATGGCAAGATCAAAAACCTGTTTTAGCCAGGACTTAATTTTACATATATTATTTACAGCCCTATCTGAGAATATGTTAGTGTTATAGCCTTGGCTTAGAGTCACCAAAAAAAAAAAAAAAAAAAAAAAAATTTAGATCCATCGGTAAAAGATAAGTGACTTTGGCAACTTAGCAATAAACCCAATAACTAAGTGAGCGGTCCGCAGGGGCCACATATGGGTCCTCACTTTTTTGTCTAGGGCGGTGAAGGGCAAGGACGAAGTGCAGAGGTGGGGCTTCTTCAGCCCTTTCTGTTCCCTACCTTCCCACCGCGGTGCCTGCTGGGGCCGCAAGCCACGAGTTCCCCGCGACTTCTGTGCTGTCTGCCAGCCGACGCAGACGCTAGTTAATTGAACACATTTTTGCGAGTTAGCTAGGCAGAGGGAGTTCAGGGCTGGGTGACATAAAACGTGGGGATACCCTTACTGCCATACTCCGCGTCCCTAATGCCCACGTCTCTATGACTACATCTCCCGGCGTCCGCTGCGAAGGACACGGGTCGTAAGTTGCCTCCGACAACGTACCTACAGTTTGGACTACATATCCCGTGATGCCTTGCTCTCCCCTCCATTTCCTTGATCTTTCCTGGCTGCGCCGCCTGTTTGGACTATGCATCCCGACAGTCTCCGCGGCGGGCGGGGCGAGGCGCTCTTGGCGGGCGTGGTATGACGTGGGGCGGGGCAGAGCGGTGGCCGCCTACCTCGGCCTGGCGGCGGCCTAGGCAATGCCGCTGTTCGTGGATGGGCAGCGAGTCCGCCTGCCGCGTTCGGCTGCGGAGCTCGTCCGAGCACACCCGCTGTTGGAGGTGAGCGCGCCTACGGGCCCTGCGGAGCGGGTGGGATCTCTACAGCCCGGCTGCTCATGTGCTTTTCCTGGAAACCTGCTGAGACCCGGCTCAGAGAGGTTTATGGAAGGTAGCACAGCACGTAGCGACAGGACACTGCCCCTCATCCCCATCTGCACCGGCGCTGTTGGTTGGGCGCTCACGCGGCGCCCCCGCATTATCATACTTCCAGCTGCGGATGGGTGCGGGCGGCCTCTCCAGGCCTCTGCGTGCCCATTCTCGTCCCCCGTGGCGTGGGGAGCCGGGTTATTTTCAGCCAGAAGTAAAGGCTTCGCTTGGGTCCGGCTTTTGTCTTGTTCTTTCCTTAAAGAGGGCTTATAGTGCAGGCGGCGGTGACCAAGATTCCACGTGCTAGTTTGGAGCCAACCCTCCCATGGATCTCACATAGTGCAGGCAGAAGGGAACTGTTTCCTAATCAGTTATTGTCTTGAAGGAAAGATGTCCACTTTCACTCTGAGGGGTGAAGCCAAGGAGCCTGGGGATGAGGAAGGCACTCGAGAAGTTTCCTCCTAGCAGCTGTTGGGGTTCTGGTTCTGTCTGCTTACGTGTGTTGCTTCCCCTGGATCTGCTTCGCGGAGCAAGAGTTTCCTGAAAGTAGATGGCACTGTGCTTATCAAATATTTGGGTAAATGAATGGGCAGAATGACCCCCGAGAACTACGTTAACTTGAATTTCAAGACTGGCTAGCGCCTGCAAATCGAGCGAGGCACTGCACTTTGTCGGCGAAGCCAGGAGTAATAGTCAAAGAAAAGTTTCAGCCACCCGAAAGATTTCGGGTACTCTCCTCTGTCCGTTTGAAAACGTCTAGTTTTAGTGGTCACAACAGCACATAACATGAAAACGCAGAGACGAGGGAGGCGATGTGGGGTGGTGCCACCGGAAGCAAGGGTTTTGGTTTATTTAGGGAGACACAGCCCAGAAGTGCTGCAGAGTGGAGAGTTGCCTTTCAAGAGCAGGAAACAGGTGGCAAGGAGGCCCCTGTGGAGAGCAGAGGACACAGCCGGCTGGCTTGGGACTTCCTCCTCAGCGGGGCGTGAAAGGTTTGCTTTTCTTCAGGATAGTGTGCGCTCTGGAGAGGGAATCATGTCCTTGATCACAACCATTCTTCTCATAGTTTTGGTGACTCTCCTCACAAGATTTTTATTTGTTTTTGAGGTAAGGTCTCTACATAGCTCTAGCTGTCCTGGAACTTGGTATGTAGACCAGGCTGGCCTCAAACTCAGGGATCCACTGGCCTGTGCCTCCCGTACTTTTTGCTGGGTGATCCTCTGTTTAAAAAAAGAGACAGGGTCTGTGTAGCCCTGGGAACTCACTGTGAAGGCTTGCCTCCAGCTCTCGAGAATTCTTTTCTCTTCTGCCTCCCAAATGCTGGGATTAAAGATGTTCACCACTATACCCTGAATTTTTCGTATTTATATGTGTGAGTAGATATGCATATAGGTGTGGATGCATGCCTGCACAGGGAAGCCAGAAGGTGACATCAAGTGTCTTCTCCACTCTGCAATTCTTTTGAGGCACGGTCTCTTGCTGAATATGCTGTCTTTTTAGCTAGGCTGGATGGAGCAAGCTCTGTCCATCCTCTTGTCTCGCCCACCTTAGAGCTGGTGCAGACATGTGTGGGAATCTGAGTGCTGGGACTTAATCTCTGGTAGATTTTCCATAGCAAACAATTTTAACTACTGACCATTCGCTGCAGTATCTTGTTTCTAACTCTTTCCCCGCCTAACACACACACTTTATTGTTGTTGTTTAATTATAGAGACAGGCTGGTCTTGAATCTGATCTGGGTCTAGTGCTGGCCTTGGACACCTCTTCAGCTATACTGTAATTAGAGGTGTCATCCAATGTGCCCATCATAATACACTACATTTTAAAAATTAATTTATTCTCCCATATATTACATCCTGATGACAGTTTTCCCCTCTCCCACCCACATGATACACTTTTGGAGTAACAGCATATCATATTTTGTGTTGTTTGGTTTTGTTGTGTGATAGTTTCACTGTATAGCTCAGGCTGGCCTTCCACACACTAATTATGCTGCAGTCTTATAAGTGTTAGGATTGCAGGTGTAAACCACTATGTCTGGCTTATTTCCTGTGCCTTTCTCTCTCTCTCATTCATTCATTCATTCATTCATTCATTCATTCATTCATTTTTGGTGTTGGTGGGGTTGTGAAAGGAGGTGTCTTTGTGTAGCTCTGGCTGTCCTGGCACTTGCTCTGCGGACCAGACTGGCCTCAAACACAGAAATCTGCCTACCTCTGCCTCCCAAGTGCTAGGGTTGAAGGCATGTGCACCATGACTGGCCTGTACGTCTTTTATATGTCAGTATTTTTCGAGTACACAGCACAGCACTAATAAGCCAGATTAGTATAACCCTCTCCTTTCTGGAGTTATACTTCTTTGGTTACCACAGTCTGAACATTTTAAGTGGAAAATTCCAGAACACTAACTCCACCTCTTTCTTTTGTTAAAGCTCTCACTGTTGCTTAGGCTGATCACTAATACATGTCCTTTACAGCCTTCCATGTTATAGCTATGTTGCTAGGACAATCCCATATTGTTGTTAGCCTCCTTCCCGGCCTTGTTTACTGATCAGTGTTCGAGCAAAACCAGCATGTCTGGGTTTGATCCCATCTGGTTTTAGGCACCCACTGGCCAGCCACAGTGGAACTGACCCTGTGCTGGGCCCAGTGAGAGTCCCTTTGCTCTTTTCTTCCAAGAGAGAGGGCTGTGAGGATCAGACACAGTATGATGATTTGACTGAGAATGGTCCTCATAGGCTTGTATGTTTGAATGCTTGATCTCTAGTTAGTAAAACTGTTTGGTAAGGATTAAGAGGTGTGGCCTCAGTGGAGGTTTCAAATAAATCTCTCTCTGCCTGCAAATCCAGATGTGAAACTTTCAGCCACTGCTCCAACAGCGTGCCCATCTGCTCAATAAGCAAGGTCCCAATTAAATGCTTTTTATTTTTTATTTTTTAAAGTAAGAGTTACCATTGGCATGGTGTTTCTTCACAGCAACAGAACTGTGACTAAGACACAGTGTGACTGTCCTAGGTCCCTTTAGCTGTTGTGTAATTCAGTACAGTAGCTACTTGCAGTGTGGGCTTAAATGGGCACACATGGAGAGACCCCTGCAAGACAGGACATTTGGGGACTTGAAGTGATCTTGGGCTATGCAGTATGTTCCAGGGTAGACAGGAGTGAGAAACTTGGGGCTTGGGAATCATGAGTGGCTGTTTAGATTTTCTGTGTGTATGCTGTGCTGGAGATGGGACCCAGGGTCCCCCCTCCACATTCTTGCCACTGAACCACACTCAGACTTCCTGCTAGTGATTTGGTACACCCCAAGAGCACAGTGCAGCAGGAACATTCACACTGACGTGCCATTGGAAGAGAAAGCTGAACATGGCAGAAAGGTAAAGGGGTGTGGGCTGGTCCCCAGAGTTGCAGATAAGACTTTCCTCTTCTCCTTGGCCCTGTGCTGGGACAGAGCACAGGGCTTCACACACGCTAGACAAGTGCCTGCTTCTAAGACATGCTCCCAGTGCTTCTGTCTTCAGAAGAAGGAAAAGATTTATTTTACGTGAGTGCTCTATCTGCACGTGCACCTGCTTCCAGAGGAGGGCATCAGATCACATTATAGACGGTTGTGGAAACTGAACTTCGACCTCTGGAAGAACAGTGCTCTTAACCTCTGAGTTATCTCTTCAGCCCAGTAAAAGGAATATTTTATGATAGTAAATTACATGAATTCAAACTTTTGTGTCACCTATCATTTTATTGTGCACCTCTGGCTGTCACCTAGTCATTCTGAGGGAAAAGTCTGCTAACCTCCAACAAAGAAAGCAGTGCTATTCAGTAGGCCATTGGGAAAGGAAGTTAAGGGACTGAGAAACATTGAATGCACTTTAAATGCCAAGAAATATGAGACACTGT